GGAACGTTTTGGCTCTGTGTGGCCCCAGCCCCACCATGGTACAACGCTTCTGCCGGTGGAGTTGGCACTGCTGTCTCCTTCCTTACATGAAGAGAAGAGCAGAGGGGGACGGGATGGCCCCAGGACCCCTTTGGCCCCTGGAATTGCCTATTGTGTTCCCCAGGAGATGTTTCTTGGACCATTATCTTTCTGTAATCACAAAGAGCCTTTTCTCAGAGTGCAGGTTGCAGGGGTGCAGGCAGTGGAATGGAAAATGGCTCCCCCAAAACGGGAGGCTGGAAGGAAGATGGCTGTAGTACTTGTGCTTTACAAAGCTTCAGCAGCTTTTGGCAAGGCTTCTGCAGCTGTTGGCAAGGGCTTCTGTGAAGCTGAGGTGGGAAGAGATAGTGGAGCATCATCGATGCTTTGGTGAGGCCAGCTGCCAGCTGAGGCACGGGGGACTTGTCTGGCAAAAGGTGACACAACTCCTCTATGAGTACTTAAATAGTTTTCAGAGTTTCTTCTCACATTTTCTTGCACTTTGCTCTTCACTTTTGTTTTAATTTGCCGGTGTTTCTTACAAGTATATGGTTTAGGGGAAGTAACACAGACCTTCCAATCTGCATGCAACGTGTAAAACCAGGAATGGCCCTTTCCTCCAGAAAGGAAGAGGATAACCATCATTTAGTGTTGCAGAAGAAATTTGTGCAGGTTATGAGATTCACTTACTGTTGAAACAGCTGTCTAAGGGCTACATACAACATTTTGCCCTGGTTTAACCTATTGGTGATGCAGGATAACTTCCTTGAAGTTATTTCTCAGGGAAATAACAAAGAAACCAAACAACATTCTTAGTTTCCTTTAATTATCAGTGCCTTTTCCTCACTAAGGGAAAAAAAAAATAAAATTCCCCTTTCTTGGCAAAGCACGTGTTGTTGGATCCTTTCTAATTCTGCACATTTCTGCAATGCAGATTCTCACAAAAGATGCTGTTACTACCCAAGTTGATGGGGTGGTGTACTACAGGATCCACAGTGCTGTCAGTGCCGTCGCTAATGTCACTGATGTCCACTCGGCTACCTTCCTCTTGTCACAGACAACCCTGAGAAACATCCTGGGTACACACAGCCTGGCTCAGCTCCTGGCAGGTCGTGAGGAGATTGCACACAGTATCCAGGTAAATCTGGCTCTCAAAATTCACTGACAGGCATGGAGATTTGTTCTGGGGAGCAGCAAATTAGAAATAATCTCTCTTTCTTTCTTCAACAATGATAGAAAAATTTTCCTTTATGTTTTTTTTTTTTTTTTCAATTATACATCTCATTGCTTAGAGTCAGAAAGAGTTATTCTAAAGGTATTTCCCCAGGTTCTTGTAGAAGAGTTATTTCTTGTCAAAAAAGTAATGAATGCTCTGAAATTATCCAGTGAGTTGAATAAATCAGTTTAGTCTTTGTACAGAGGCTGCTGTAAGCGATGCGAAAGAAGTCTGCTGCTCACGGGAAGCTCTGAATTGAGCAGACCCTTGGTTGAGGTTTAATCAAGACAGGGCCTGTATCTCCTGTCATAACAGCTAAGAGTACAGAACCAAGTTGTTTTATGCTTTCAAGTGCCATCTGTTTTTTTTTCCTTTTTTAATTTGGCAGCCTGGGAGGGAGCAGAGAAGAAAACCAAGACCTGTTTTACTCTTTTCAGTCAGAAAAGAGGCATAGTCAAATCAAAGACAGCTTGTACCCCTCTCCAGCCAGAGCAGCAGCTGTGGGCAGAGCGGGGTCACGGTGGTGATGTGGGTTCGGTAGCGCCCAGGAACCTCAGTGCAGAAGAGCATACCAGTGCTGTGTCCTTCACCCATAGTGTGCTTTTACAGCATCGTGCCATTTTAGGAAGCTGCTGTAGCATTACTTTGTAAAAGGGAGAAGTTTGGTAAGTGCTCCCCTAAAGAAAGGATGGGGATTGCAATTCAGGAGGAAGTAGAGAAGCCACACAGGACACACAGGTGCTGATCAGCAAGAGTTTCATAAGGTTGCGGTACTCACAACCTTCATAAGGTCGTGGTACGCACACCACGTTGGATGTTAGTGCTCCCAGAGGGCTCCATCTTTCTGTTGTGCAGGTTTGCACGCTGCCTTCCCTTCTGTCCAAGCAGCAGGGTACATTGCGTGGTTTTCTCTCTGCCATCACTGTGCTCTTCATGGTGGGTTGTGTGTTTGTCCCAAAGGCTATCCTTGACAGTGCCACGGAGCAGTGGGGAATCAAAGTAGCCCGAGTGGAAATCAAAGATGTCAGGATTCCTGTGGGTATGCAGAGGGCAATGGCAGCTGAAGCAGAGGCCGCTCAAGAGGCGAGAGCTAAGGTGAGACCCACAGCAATGTCTATCCCCAATCTCCTGTATCCTTGTCCCAGGCATCCACATGCCTCTTTGTTTTCTCCTCATTGTAAAGGTGGATTTTCCCAACTACGGGCAGCGTCACAGTGCCGTTTCTCTTACTTTGCAGGTTGTGGCAGCAGAGGGAGAGATGAATGCTTCTAAAGCCCTCAAGCAGGCCTCCATGGTGCTAGCGGAGTCTCCAGCAGGTCTTCAGCTGCGCTACCTGCAAACGTTAACAACCTTGGCAGCAGAGAATAATTCCACCATTGTCTTCCCTCTCCCTATAAATATGCTTGAGAGTTTGGGGCAGAAAAATAGAGGGGGATAGAGACGGTTCTATGCTCAGTCCTTGGGCAGAGAGATTTAAAGGGTTTCCCTGGAAGCAAGGAGTTCCAAGGGATTCCAGGTAATCAGAAGTAAAGTAGAATCATGCTTGGGTCCTCCGTACCAAAAATAAAAGTAAAAATAGTTTAATAATCACACATATCTCCCACATTAGGAGATTGCATTTGTGAAATTTAGGCACTATGCAGTTTCAGCTTAGATTCATCTCCAAGTGAAATGGAAGAAAATATGTAAAATGCAATAAAATATGTAAAATGCGTGTTCAACTCAATATGCAATTTTAATGATGCTTTCACTACATATTACAGAGTCTTGAGTGTAGCAATTATTTGGTGATCTGTCTGCTAAGCAAGAACCTCTGAGCTCTTGATTTACTCCACACAGCAAAAGGGTCAGATACTGGTATTTAACTCAAGTCCTGTGGAGTGGAAAGATGGATTTGTCTCCTAACCTAATTCTATCGTAACTATTAGCAGAATTACCAGGTAATTGGTATGTCAGTGGAACAGCCTATTCTTTGTCCCATATGAGTAGAAATTAGCACTCGCTTTACTGGCCTCAGCTGGATTTTGCCATATCACTGACATTTCTATAAGCTCTGTAATAAAAAGGAGAGTATATGTCCAGGTGTTACAGTCACATTTCCTAAATCTGAAAGCTGGGGCAAACCTCAAGGAAAACAAATTGTCCTAGGTTAATTTAAGTGCCTGTCTTTCACTTTCAGGAGGTTTTTTATCCTCCCATGCAGATGTCATGAAGCAGTGGTGCAGATTTTCCTAAAAAGAGCCTTCCCCACCCTCCATCCATGCAGTGCCTGCCAGCTGAATGGGGGACGTGGCTGATACCTGAGTTCAGCTGCCATTATAGCTGAGTTTACAGCCTTCAAAAAGAGCTGGGCACTTCCCAGTGCTGGCACACGGTGATGACCTGTCTGCTATGAATCTGAAGGCTCTTGTGGAGTAGCTGTTCTGGTAGGTGCTGCTGCCATGTAGTGTCTTCTCTGCACAAGGCTCACTGCTGCTCCTCCTATCCAGTAGGGTCGTATGACTCCAAATTAACCAGATCAGCATAGTCCTACTAATTATTATATTGTTGATACAGGCCCTTCTTATTTTTACTGCAGTGTAACACAAAAAGTCCAGGTGGCAAATTTTTGGGCTGAGTAGCTGCTGGCACGAAGATGGTAGTATGAGCATCGGAGGAGGGTGACCTGTTCAGCAAACACAGCATTTCATTGCAGCTCTTCTCTGCTTCAGACACAACTGCCAAATGGCATTTTGCCGTCAAACTAAAGAAGTAAAACCTGTATTTGCAAGTCATCTACTTATCAGTGTTATCAAAATATTTTCTACAGAATTTTTCTTATACTAAGAAAAGAGAGGCTTTGAGTTTTGGGGTTGTTTTGCATCATCAGCTTAGTTTGCCATTTGTGGAAGCTTTTATAACTGTGGCAGCAGAACCCCCACCTTTCCCTGACAAATAGTGCATCTCCACTGCAGAGCTGTTTGCGTATCCACAGAAGCAGCAATGCTTTAGAAAAATGCAACCACAGATTGTGTCGTTTTTTTTTTTTCTTAAAGTAATGCAAATTAATTAAACTCGAAAAAAAAAAAAGAACAGCTTGAAAGACATGTAATTACAGAATGCAATTAGAAAGCAATTCTGTGCCCTCAGTGAGCTGCTGGCACTAACCAACCTGTGCAGGACTCCTGGGTCAGGCACAGGACACATCCACTCCAGTTGCCCATCCCTGATGCTGGGACGGTTCCAGTTCCAGCTTCAGAGGTGCGTATGGGAATCCTGCTGTGGTACAAGTCAGGTTATTCATTGCCCTACATGAGGACTCACAATTAACTGATGTGCTGAAGCATGAGCGTTAGTATCTCTTTTCTTTCAGCAGCAGCGTAACACAGGCTGTACTTGGTAAGCCCATGGATGCCCAGTCTTCTTTCTGACCCACGCAAAAATTTTTTGTCCAGTGACAGTGACTGTAGGAATTAATCAGCTCTGCAAGCACAATGATTTTTCATTTGATCCCCTGCAGGATTATTGCACTATTGTATAATGGATCAGAGAGACGGAAACTCCTGCTCTCTCTTCACCAGTGTCAGGGACAATAAACACAATAACTCGTAGAGTAACTGCGATTTTTTTTTGATTACCCACCCACACATATGTCTACAAGGAGATACCCCAATCAGCAAAACAGATAGCAACAGAAGCAGCTCTGCAACATTTTGGGTGCCACTGATGCACAGGCTTTGCAAGACATATTCAGGAAGGAGCCGAGTCGTAGTGACGTGGGGTGTAGGATGTGGGGAGCAGCACGATGGTTCAGAAGAGGCACAGGCTGTCAGGCGTGTTCATGAAGTCCTGGAGGTGAGCACAGGCTTGCCGGTGCAGGGTGGTGCGGCACTCGCTGTCTTCTGGAATTTTCTCTATCCAGGCTTGTGCATCAAGGAAGTACTGCATCCTGCATGCAAGTGGGACAGGTAAAGGAGGTGAGTGGTTACTGCTGACATGGAGCAATGAGGAAAGCATAAACCCCATGACGCTGCATCCCTCCACGGAGGCATCTCTGAGATCAGGAGGAGTTACATTAGCCAAGAAACTTGCCTGAAATCTAGTTTCAGCAGTAGGGTAACTGAGCTTTGAATAAAGCTTGGGAAGTGTCAGTGCCAAGCTGGGACGAACTTGGCTGTACTTGTGTTTTGAGTGACACCAGGTAAGCTTGGGCTAAATTTCTACTACAGTTTTCCGGGGTGGCACAAAAAGCCCCAGTGCACACCAATGGGACACACTGAAGGGGAGTTTAGTTTCAACAGAGTATCCAAAAATGTTTCCTAATTTTCTGGGGTGAGAAGCCATGTAGCTTCTGACATTTTACGACTGGACTGGAGAAGACTTTGGAGGTTACACCTCTGCTGAGAGACTTCAGTATTTAGCCGGCTTCTGTTGAAGCACGCCCCTGATTTATGCGTCCACTTTGGTGTCATATAGAGATGGGGAGAGGGGACTTTTTAAGGTTTTAGGAAGTGGCGCTCACAATTTGATTGAGAAGGTCTCCCTCTAGAAGCTTTCAGAGGCACTAACTTTCTCCAGTTTTGCCCAGGGAAATAAAATATTTGGGATGTCTTCTTCACTAAATATTTGATAGTGTCAGACTAGATTCCTCCTCAGATAAATTCCCTTTTTTCATTAAAGTGTGATAATGAGAAATGAAAAGAATACACTATTTGCATGCATGATATAACAGAAACTTGGAGAGCTGCTGTTAGCCACGGTCCCACCCATGTCTTTTGCAAATACGGGAATTGTGTAAGGCATCTGCAGTAGATGGAACTGTGTGGCGTTTCCCATTCTCCTTCTCTAGCTGCAAGTTTTTAACCCAGCGGAGTCAGGGCCAGATTTTGATTCTGAGAAGTTTGGGAACCAGGCTCTGCACAGATACATGAGCTGATAGATTTGGGTGGCTCAGCTATTCCCCTTTTGCCTACAGAGCAGTACTCTGCATTTTAGTAAAGCCAACAGAATCAGTCCCTAAGAAATTTGGCCCTCCCTTTGCTTTCTGGAGGTATTCTAATAGGCTGAATATCCTCCGGATTCATGATCCACGATAGCAGCCACCGCTGCTCAGAAACCATTGCACTTACTTGTTGTTGCAATCAACCGTTTGCCCATCTTTCCCCATGAGGAGGTACCGTTTGCCAGTGACCATATTTAACTTGCACATGGAGCGTGTTAGGAACTGTCGGTGGGCACCGACCTGGATGCTTTCATCAGTAGCTGTGGCACAAGGAGAGAAAACCCCATGAACTTTTCTAATAATGAGTAGAACCATAGCCCACAGGACACAACCCCTTGTGATGATTTACTCCACTGCTAAGCTAAGGTAATATTTCTCCAAGGAGTTGTGGCTTGACATGGGAATAAATGGCCATGCTATAGTAGGATGTATTTCCCTTAACATTACCTGACAAAAAGTAAGTCATTTCTGTCTCAGCTGGTTGTCTCAGACTCCTCAGTAGTTATTGAAGGAGCGGTTTTGCTATAGAGAATTTTCAGGCCTTATGGCCTCAGAGATTGAAGGAAATGCCAAGGGAAAAAGAGAACATGCTCTCTTGTATTTCGGATTGCTCAGGCTTATGGTGGTCTTAAAAGCTAGCAAACTAAATTCAAACATCTTGAGGCTCAACAATGCAACAAGGCAGTATTAAAAACTCACTCTCCTTAACACACCTGACCTGAACTTCACGATGCAGCCTTTATGCTATTCCCTTTGAAGCTGATATGTAGGGCATGCGCTTGATGATCTCCACGTTGAAGTAACTTAGAATATTCTGGTCTGGATTCTGACCCAGAAGATTATTCAAGAGCTGCACTACCCATTATAGAAGTGGACATCCAAGGCAGAAGAGAAGGCTACTCAGATACTGCAATGACATGAGAGCTGGAAAGATGCTTATTCATCAGACTAACCATGGGTCATAAGGATACTGTGTTGTTTGGCTAGAACAACAGTTTTCAAAGTCCATTTGAAAAAAAAACCAAACCAGCAAATAACAGCAATATTCTAATTTCTTACTCTCTTTCTAACTATAATGTTGCACAACTATGGTGACAAATTCAACATTAAACCAGCTTAAATTACAGGTAAAACACTACAGTCTTCCTATCAGTTAACAGAATTTTGTGCAGCTTCTGCTGTGTAAATTATTATATTACAAGTCTGGAAAGTCTACTATTCAAAATAAAACTCTAAGGGTAGAATAAAAATCTGAAGTAGAATATTTTAACACTAATAAGATTTCAGTGAATTTGATGTAGATTGCTAATCTGTGAAACCTAGCACCAAGAACCTTATCTATTTCCTAGTCAGAACTTGCATTAATTTTACATATGGTACTTACAGGCCAGGGAGAATTCAGTCTTCAGTATTGTATGTTGTTTGACATCTGCATTTTTCCAAAGAATTATACAGTCCTATAGATTTTCTCATATAACCCAAGACCTCTCTATTGTTCCTATGCCATATGCTGTACTGAATTTTTGTTTTGTTCAAAGAATGCAAAGATGGATGAGAACTACCTGAGAAAATGATGATGTTATGCCTCAGATTCATTGTGCTTAAATTATCATGGTGTTTGCGGGTTCATATGCTTCACAAATGGCCTAATACATTTCAGACTGTGGGGATCATAAAGATTTGAGTTATTACTTTAACAAGTTATTGTGTAACTTCCAATTCTAAATCTCCAATTTAAAAAAAAATAAAATTAAAATATAACATTCCAAAGTGTCCAAGCAGAATTTAAGGGAAACAATTACTTCAAGTTATAGAATCTAAAAAACCAAAATGGACGGAAAAGAAAAATAAAAAAGAGGGTTCTGTGCTATTTTGCATGGAGCATAGTGTTCCCCTAAAGGACTCATAGGACAACATAAATGTTAGCCATCCAAAAAACATGCGCTAATTCTATTAACACAAATAAGTGCTTTCATCTGTTTTCTGAACCAACCCTTTATTTGCAAGGATGAATACTGAAATAATGCCAGGGGTCCTGAGAAGGAGAATTTACCCTACTAATTCTCACCTACCCTTGGTGATGGCAACAGAGACCAACCTCACTCAAAACAGCCACAGAAAAAAAACAAAAGAACAACTCTAGTTCAGTCATGAGCTGACTTGGATGCAATGCCTTGCTTTTTCTTCATCATCATGGCTTCATTGCTCTTACCAGCCTTTCCCAAGCCTGCTGAAAGTCTACTGATGCTCATAAGCTGCATCATACAGCACAAACCAAAGGGGATTAAAAAGGCATCAAAAAGGAGGTGGGAATGGGAGACATCATCTCTTCACTTCAACTTCCCATTCAAAGGATGTTTCTCCCAGCTGCCAAGAAACAAAATTTTTCCAGTGCTTGCCTGTGGGTTTTGAGTACAGATGTATTGAGGCCCAGACCTCTAAATCCTTTAGATCTTACAGGATTTCTGGAGGGATGAATGAAACTGTCCATCATGGTACTGTAATAGCCCATAGCCACTGTTTTGATCACTGGGTACTTTACCACTTCCCTGAATATGGAAAACCCTGGGCATGACAGATGTTGTCTCTGGACTCATGAGGTGTGGACCTGATTTTCTGACAGGAACAGAACATTGGGCACAGATCACAAATTGTGCGCCACAAAACACTGGGTGACGTCACCGGTCCCCCGGGGAAAGATTGAGGGAGTGAGTTAATTACTCTGTTCCAGACAGGGAAGATTTCAAAATCTTTGAAGTTGCTTTTTAAAGGCAATCTGTGGCTGCCAAACTTAAAACTGACAACCACATGATACCTCAGTGGCTAAAGTCTGAGATGTCATCTGACAGCCTCTCCAGAAATTACTTTGAAGAGTATCAGTGTTCACTGATGCTGCTGATAAAGTTCACATGGGGACAGCTGGGAGGGCAGGCCTGCAAAAAGATGTTGTCTGAGAGCAGTGCAAATCTTTACTTTGCACCAAAAGAAATAGAAAGACTTCCTTGTTGTTAGCACAATTATTAAATTCACATTCTAGAAGTCTTACTGTGTCCACTGACTTCAGGTAAGTCATTGCGGACAACTCTTAGCCTGTTCTGCAAGCATTGCAAGTGCTTAATAATTAATTAACAAGCACTTTGAATCTTCATCTAGTGTCAAAAGAGAGGTCAGTGGATATGCTTACAGTAGGAAAAAATGTGGATCAATAACAGCAGTCTATAAAGTAAATTAGTTGATGCATAAGACCTAATATCCACACTGTGCGTATTTTTGGAGGGTTTATCTTAGACTAGCTCCAGTTTGGAGCTATGGAGTGAATGAAGCTGGAATGTACCTTCTGGTTTAGTTTCATCTGAAAGGATTGAAGCTCATGTGCTCTGGGATTGCTGCACAATGTGAACAAAAGCAACCTGCTCCTGAGCTGAATTGAACAGCGAGGTAGCTGCACCGAATAAGCCTTGCAAGAAATCAGTCTTCTTGCAAGCCTAGTATAGAAGTGTATCTGACCCTACTTTCCACATCAAGAGAAGGCATCTGCGTGGCTCATATTGGCTAATATTTAATCAACCTAGTTGTCCTACAGGTGAATGAAAAGAGCCAAACATTTTGATACTTACTGGCTTTAAGGATTCTGTGGATTTTGGCCTCATAGTAATCAAAAACATTCTTCTGTGTACTATTGAGGAGCTCCACCTCGTACACTGCAACAGACAACAACCGTGTGAGGCCAGATGGAAACAAGAAATTACATTAAAAAACTGAAAAACAGCTATGCTTTTACCAGATGTCTATACAGAGTCCGGTGTACCAGCTATTTGCAAATCATGAGGCGTGAAAGACAACAGGATAGTAATCCTGTATGCCTAATATGCTTTCAGAAAGTCAGGTATTAATCAACAACCTTTAGATTTGTGTTCCTTTTGTGTATTTTTTAAAAAGAAGCTCCTATATGATTAGGTTTTCACTTTTTTCCTGTCCTGTTAGCAACTAACTTATCAAAGCTGCTGATCCGCTTGTGCTTCAGTAGCTCTTCCAACTTTCCATCCAAAGAAGAGGGCAGAAAGGCAGATTAACAAAGGAGAAAATATTTGTCTAGCTCCACAGAAGACGCTGCTAAGCTATGGCATGCCATGAAAAGTCTACTCTTTTTCTCCATACTGTAACAGTAGGGACGTAGGAGATGGTGGTGCTCACACCATGGGTCTTTTCTAGACCATGTAACTTAACGTTGTCCCTGCTTCCCTCCCCCAGCATCCCACTGCTTCTTTCTGAGGTCTTTACTTTTCCCTTTCTCCCCCCCGATGACTGCAATAGCACATAGCTTCATTTCATCTCCTCAGCCTCTAGGCCAGATACAGAAACCCTGCTCATTTCAGGAGAGGTGTGGGCATATAAAACTACAAATTTATCGTATTAAAAAGAACTATGTTTAAACTAAATCAACAGACTTTCATGCCTTACCATAATCCGCAATAGGTTGGTAGCAGGCAAAACGGAAGCGTGTGGTTTGTGTTATGGCTTTATTGAAAGTTGGTCTTTGTCTTGGGCAGGGACCTAGAGCAAAGAAAATAAATGATACATCCATCTCTATAGGCATGGATATTTAGATAGATATAGTTTACACATATTAATTCACTCAGCATTATAACTGAGAATAAAATAAAATGGCAGATCAACTTTCTTAGAGGTGTGGTGGAAGGTTTTTACATATGTATGCACATGTGTGTGTGCATATATATATATTGCATTCAACTATCAAATCAGTCCTGGATATCTTATAAAAAAAAGAAAATTTAATTTTGTACCCAGCATACTAGAGGATGTTTTGTGTCCTGTGTTATGCATTAGGATAATTGTAATGCTCCTTTCTGGGCTTAACAATTCTCACGTAAATGGTTTGTAGAAGTAACTATCTTCCTTTAGACCAGCCTATTTAGTGATTCCTTACCTTCTGCACACTGGCAAACGTTGGCATGGCACACCTTTGAAAGCATGGCGCTGTGCTTGGGAGCACTGTAGAATACGCTGCACTTTCTGTCTGTGGAGGAGAAACAAAATGGCTTGTCTCAGAGAGCTCAGGTGGAAAAACCTATGCAGTACAAACCACATTTGCAGCCCAACTTTTCCCTGGGCCAGAGAAATCAGAGCACTAAGGGGTCAGATGCACAAAGACGTGTAGCCTAGGCACCATACAGGCATCACCTTGCCTTTCAGATGAGCAACAACCTGGGTTGTTCCTTCTGGGATTTTTTTTGTGGGTTGGTTTGGAGGGTTTTTTTTCGGTTTGATTTGATGTAGGTTTTTTGTTTGTTAGGTTTTTGTGTTTTTTTTTTTTTGTTTTTTAACATTATACTCTTCCCTTTTTTGTTATTGTTTTTGTTTCATCTGAAAAACATCCATCTTAAAAGCATCTTTAGACCATGGAGCTACAGTAAGCACTACACTGTTTCAGAAGAAGGAGATAGGATCACCAATAGTTAGTGGTTTAAACCCAGTGTAAACTGTCTTGGATCACTCGGCTTCAGGCAAAGTAGAAATTTGACATAATTTTCAAATATTGTTTATATAACTCTGGCAAATGGGGATGATTTGCATTTAACCTTCTTTGAATGGGGAACGAGACTGGTTCCTCCAGTAAGCAGAGTACATCAGCCAAGCCTCTATGATTGCGTATCTTAAATGCATAGAAAGACAGCCTGACCGAAAAGATAATGTGAGTGGAACATGCTTAAAAGCACCATGAGAAACAGGAACTCTGATTTAAAAATCCATGAGTGTAGAAGTTTGTACCTTCAGTCCATTTGCAATAACAGACCCTTCCTGAGAGGATCTCTATTTGGATCATCTTAAGCCATGGCAGTAGAAAACAGTATTCGAGGCAGGTTATTTTAACACTCGACAAAATCACTTGGTTTCACACATTACATCAAAATCATCTTTCTACAGACTGGAGCTTGTTCTTGAGGGTCTCTCTTTCAATCACTTATGTATCCTTTTTCTGTGCCCTTACCAGGGTTGTAAAAATCATAAAGGATGGCATTTGCTGGCTGGACCAAGCCCATGGGATTGATTTGCTTTGCACCAAATGATACACAATCTGGGTCTGGTCCGCTTGTGAGCTGCAGGAAAAAGGTACAATAGTTATGATGAGAAAACTAACTTTCTCCCCAGTCATTTCCTTATTCATCTGTGCCTGTACTATTGAATGCTTTTTTTTCTGGTGGCATAGGCATCCCAATAGCTGTGGCCTCAACTTGAAGAAGGTATTTCCTTCCATGATTTGATTGGGAGACTTTGTGGATGAGGTAAGCCTGGGAAGGGTAGTTTTGTGAGATATGTGCTGGTCTTCTCTTCCTGAAACTGTCTGATCCGGACTCACATCATCACTACTTTGGGTTTTACTTTTCAGATTTTGCCTAAAACCACCTTGCACAGGAGTAATGGGTGTAATGTATATTCACAGCCTATCCTGCACTGGTGGCTGCCAGTATATCCACTTTCCTTAGTACAGTGCTCAGGTAAGGGACAGCTTTTGACCCATGTTAAATACAAAAATTATCTAGGACAGTCATAACAGCAATAGCATTTGCATTTTTTCATTTCTTTATTGTCTTATATTTAAAAAAAAAAATCATTGCACAGTGTGTGCTTTCTACAGGGACCCTCATAATTTGGCTGTGGAGGTAAAGCTACTCAAGTGGGTATAGGGTGCAGTCAGAAGTCCAGAAATACTGGACTTCAGGTGCAAAGTGTCCATGTGGAATTTACATGACCACCAGTTAACACTTTGTTAATCTTGGATGAAAAGCATATATTCTGACTAGAGAGGATTTCTCTTTTTTGCAGGGGCCAAAGCCCAAATCTCAAACATGGACTGCATCTCCTGGAACACAGAAAGACAGAGGATGAAGGTGTATGTTTCCCCTTCTTCCCCTCCTCCACCTTCTTTCAACTGAGCTATTCAATAATAATGTATGACAAAAATCATATAGGTAACGGAGTGTGAAAAGCAATAATGATTAGGTTTGAAAAGAAGTCTATATATGCTATCTGAAATGGCGGAGATTGGAAAATCATTGAGTTTGCTCACCTCGCCAAAGTAGAGCAAAACTTTTCCTTCCTTGTACTCATAGTGCTGAATGTACTGATCTGAAGATATCACCAACTGCAGGAAAACAAAGAAACAAAGAAATCAGAAAAAAAACCTAGCTTGACAGGAACACCTTTGCTGCCACCCTTTATATTCTGGTTTGCTTTGTTCAGCTGTTTGCTTTTTTCTGCCCCCTTTCTTCCTCCCTAAAAGAGACAGTCCCTGAGAGCAAGAACCTGGCCCAACAACCCCCAGCCAAGCAGGCTCCAGAACCCAGAACTCTGCAGCCACCTTTGCACAGCGTTGTGCCCCATCTCCCCATCACTGTTCTCTGCCAGCAACCGCCTCTAAAGATTTGCTTGTCTTCCCCGCTGCAAGCACAGGACATGCTATCCTGGCATGTAACGGGACAACAGTGCCAGTGGGGACAGCAAGATGTGTTAAGGACAGGCACATATTTAAGTGCCCTGCTGAGCCTTGTCCTAATTTCTGCTACAAGGGACAAGAAGTCTGAACTCTGTTCACCACAAGCTTTTCATTTCTTGCATATATTCAGCAAATATTTTGTCAGAGCAAAACCAATGAAAATATATCTATCCAAAATCTGTTTCCCCTTCTTTATTCTGTGGACTTTGGAAAGGTTTTGGAAGACAAATTTTCTATAGAAAAGGTTATAAAAGATTGCACAGAAAAATGTGTTTCTAACCTGTTCGAGATCCTTTGTGTCAGGTTCCAAACCACTCAGCAGAGAGAGATCAACAAGGGACATCTTTGGTGCATTGGAACCTGTGGACCTTTTTAAGGGAGACCATCAGCAATGAACATCTGCACTGCACAGCCAGCTTGCTTTGAAGAGTTTGGCTTTTCAGGCTTGCTAATGGTCTAGTGGAAGGTGTCCCTGCCCATGGCAGGGGGGTTGGAACTAGATTATCTTTAAGGTCCCTTCCAACCTAAACCATTCTATGATTCTATGAAACAAAATGTTCCACTCCATTTAGCTTTCTTCAGCGGATTTTAATTTGAAAATTAGCTGCCTACCTCATTAAGAGTCATGAAGCAAAATTAGTTCCCTACA